ATCACAGAATGGTTGAGGTTGGAAGGGACCACCAGTGGTCATCTAGCCCAACCTCCCTGCTCAAAAAAGGTCACCTTGAGCACATTGCTCAGGATTGTGACCAGGCAGCTGTTGAATATCTCCAAGGAAGGAGACTCCACAGTCTCTCTGGGCAACTTATTCCAATGTTCAGTCATCCTCAGAGTGAAGAAATTCTTCCTCATATTCCGATGGAACATCCTATATTTTAGCCTATGCCCCTTGCTTCTTATCCTATCACCTGGTGCCACCGAGAAGAGTCTGGCCCCATCCTCTTGACACCCTCCCTTCAGATCCTTACCCACATTGGTCAGATCTCCCCTGAGCTGAACAGGCCCTGCTCCCTTCCTCATAGGAGAGATGCTCCAGACCCTCAGTCATTCCAGTAGTCCTTTGCTGGACTTGCTCCAGGAGCTCCATGTCTCTCTTGTACTGGGGAGCCCAGACCTGGACACAGTTCTCCAGGGGTGACCTCCCCAGGGCTGAGAGGCAGGATCTCCAGACGTGCTGCAATGCTCTTCCTAATGCAGCCCCAGATACCATTGGCCTTCTTGGCCACAGGGACACATGGCCGGCTCATGGACAATTGTTGTCTACCAGGACCCCCAGGTTCCTCTCCGCAGAGCTTTTTTCCAGCAGGTCAGCCCTTAACCTGCACTGGTGCATGGGGTTGTTCCTGACCTGGGGCAAGACCCTGCACTTGTGCACTTGGGGGGCACCAATAGTTACAGGTCTCCAACTAGATTCTGTGCCACTGATCACAAGCTTCTGAGACCTGCCATTCAGCCAGTTCTCCACATCACCATCCACTTCGCCAGCCAGTGCTTCCTGAGCTTGTCTATGAGGATGTCATGGGGGACAGTGTCAAAAGCTTTGCTGAAGTCCAGGTAGACAACATCCACTGCTGTCCCTCAGTCTATCCAGCAGTTGTACCATCTCAGAAGGCAAACAGGTTGGTTAAGCATAATTTCTCTTTGATGAATCTGTACTGACTACTCCTGATCACCTTCTTGTCTTCCATGTGCTTTAGACATGGCTTCCAGGATGAGCCATTCCACCATCTTTTGAGGGATTGAGGTGAGGCTGACTGGCCTGTACATGTAGCCCTTTAAGCTCGTACTTTATCTTTTCCCAAAAGACAATGTGCTGTAACATTAACTATTGCTTCCTCTCTATCATGAAGATGCATTTCACTATGCTTGGTTGTAACCAAAATTGAATTTTAATTTTTTTTTTTTACTTGAAGGGGTTTAGAGCATGATAATAGTGTCTTTGGTCTTTTATAATGGTATGTTCACCATTTTAAGCATTGTAATATTCACTTTGAAACTTGTGTGCTCATGAGAGGCGAAGTAACAGTGGATAGCTTTGCCTAGGAAACACTGGTTTTATTCTCTTCTTCAGTAAATGACAGTATCATAAATGGCAGCAATAGCAAATCTCATTATATCCTATTAAATTAGAAAGCAATATTTTCAGAAGAATATTTTGTGAATTAACAAGTATTACAAGGCATTTCCTAGGAGCAGAACCAGGTAGCATGGTACTACTGAAGCAGTGGGCATCCAGACATATGCCAGAGTGAACTGTTTAATTTTGCCTTTCCTTTTGGGTTCATTCAAACAAAGTAGGATTTTTGTTCTCAAAACACATAAGTGTGTTTGGAGCATTTTTTTCACATAGTATTTCATTCCATCAAACAAAGTAAAAAATCCTCCATATTATCTTTGACAGTCTCCTGTCATAATAGTCCAAAACTTTTTTTGAGATTTACTTTTGTAGCTTTACAGTACTTTAAGCCAGCAGTAGAAAATACAGAACTGTTTAGTTAGCTCTCAGCAAATGCTCTTTACTGACAAGAAATACAGCAGAATCACAGCACAGGAAGAACAATGCTTGCGTTGATCACTGAAAGTGATCGATCATTGAACTCTGCATTAATCTGCTCCTTGTGTCTATACATTATAAAAATTCAAGCATGTTGCAGATTGCCTGCACCCCATACAACTAAAATGTGAAAGATTTACAGGGTAAATTACTACTGACATACACCAGGTATGTATGGCTAAACAAGAACTGCTGTATTTAGCTTACTGCAAACATTAGTTTTCCCTTTTCATGTCTTCAGTCTTCCTGAGGCTAAAGTTCTTTACAAGGACAATGGTTTGTGTTTTGGATTAATCAGAAGCCTCGGTCATTTGAAAGGTCATATATGCAAGGAATGGCAAAATCTCTTTTTTAAATGACCTGTGTGTTGGCCTTTGTGGAGAATTATGGGGAATCAAAATCTACAGAAGCTGTTAATGGAAATGTATGTCTACAAGGAAACATGACAGTAATAATCCTATTAAATTCTTTGAATCTAAGCTCCTACTTATGTGGGGTTGGGTGGGGATACGTTTGGCTGATTTTCATAGCCAGTTTAGAATTGTAATCAAGGACAAGATCTCTTGTTGCTTAAAAAAAATCTTTATAACTAGAAGATGAAACATAAGCAAACCAGATAAAAAAATTCTAAGAATAAAGTAAGTTGCTTTGGGAATGATAAGCATTTGAATGCACATAGTTCATAGAATAGAAATATCATGTCTGACTGCAGTAAAATGAAAGGGATTACATTCATGAGCAAAGAAACTCATGTAAGGCTCTGGAGCAAGAGTCTGAAAAACAAGGCTGCATGAATTCTTTTTATACTGGTGTGATGATATTTCTCCAGGTTATATGGGTACATCAATTCCTTATATTTCAGCTTTGCAGGGTACACACGTAATTCCTTCTGTAAAGCTTAATATTTTTACTGTGTATTTTGC